TTTCATAGTCTTATTTTCTATGGACCAATTAGTAAGGTAAACTGAGAAGGTTGTATGTAAAGATTAAGTTTCTTAACATAAAATGTTGTCTTATCAGCTACAATAGGATAAAGGCTTCTTATACATGGAATCCATACAAAAATCATATTGAATATCATTCACAATAATATTACATATAATTCATGAAGAACTGAGTTTACAACAACATATGTTTAAGAACAAGGTGTGGGGACATTGTACACTCTCTAATATAGACATTTATAACAATTTAATTATACATGAAACTACACTAAATGAGAGGAAAAATCAATAGGGTCAACACAGAACAATATACAAATAACATCTTGTAAAAACTTAAGCAAGATACCAATAGTGGATGAAGTGTTGCTTCCAAATGCTAGGGGGAAAATGGATATTTAATCAGTTAGAGGTAATTGAAGAAAGATAAGTTACCCACTTTAAGCTAGAACAGCATTTGAAATAAAAAGAGTCACGAAGTTAACAATGATTATTCACTTTCATTTGTATGCTTTGTAATATATTCCAAAATACTTCAACATGTTTTATTTCAGTTAAATTGGGAAACAATCCAGAAAGTTAAAAAAGACAAGTATTGCTCCTCTGGTTTTAAAAGCAAGAAAAGGAATATAGAAAGATTTATTGAGCTAAAATAATTTACTAGTAAGAGGTTAAATAAAAAAGAATTTAGCTTTCCAGAGTCTCAGTATAATCAGTATTTCTGCCATCCCCGGCTGCACAGGGAATTTTTGCTTAACAAAGTACTTGTTCACTTATGTACAGCTTAAAGAACAGTGTTGTATTTAGTCAGTCTTTTCATTAATAACAATGATGTACCTTTCAAAAGTTTCCACAAAAATACACAATTGTAGAAATGTCTAGTTTATACTCCGTATATTCTGCCACAATATTCACAAGAACAAGAAAATATAAACCTTTTGGCAGCCCCATCAAAGGATTCACTTCTAATAATTTTAAGACCAAATATATACTGCAAGGTATGATTCATGGGACAACATAGTTTTACTTAGTATAAATAATATTTTATATGAAGAATATAACCCAACTGCTTTGTCTTGGGATTGCCTTAGAAAAATATGAGGTAATTATACTGTGTATTATGACCTAAAGCTATGAGCCTTAAAATTACCTTAAATTACAGAAAAATAGTTATGTTTATTTTTAAATACAGTTTTTATATTCCAAACATTCAAATCAAATTCCACAGCAATCAATGATATGAAAAAATATGAGAAAACAACTGCAGTTTTGTGTCTCATCATGACCTTTCAATACCTGCTGTAGATTGCCTGTGGGTTCAACTTCTAATTTAAAAAATATATTTTTCCATACTATTTGGGTGAAGTGGAGGACAAAATCGCTTGCATTGTTTTCCTGCACAAGCTTTCATATTTCAGACAACTGAAACCCAAATATGTTTATTCTACATTCTAATAATATCAGTTCTTAATTTACCTCACATAAAACAAATCCACTTTCTTCTGGTTGAATATCTTGAGCCCAAGGATATGTAACCTGAGAGCTAAAAGAAGCATGGCATAAATGAAGAGATCTTTTTTGCATAAGGCAAATTGTACTTTTTTGTATTTGATGTTTCTGCTTGTGAAGATCTACGTTTCTCTTCCTACAATGGTATTTTGATTGAAGGTGACTTGTGTGAATACACAAGGCTTAAAATGTAGCTACCTGAGTTTGAGACCATTCACTGGTAAAAAATACTCATAATTTGTACTCTAATAGGAGACTCAAAAATGCTGCTAGACAAACCCATTTTTTAAATATGCCTCTTTATTCATGGTTTTCTAATGGTTTTGATCTAGTCAATTCAGGCCATTTCTGATTAATGGGTGTCATCAAGATGTAGCCATGTATTCCAATTCCCTCTATGATCAGTAGCAATAAAAAAAAATTCTTCCCATTAAAAATCAAAGCATTCACATAGAATCTTTGCTATATTTTAAGGTACCACTCTTGCTTTTGCTTTACTGAATAGAATCAATTCCACATATATGAGTCCCAAAGTATATAGCAATACATTAACCTAAGCACCATGAAGAATATAAGAAATACAAGATATCTCCTTTGAAATTAAGAAAAATAAGAACCATAAATGCTAAGCCATTACCATCTAAATTATACCAGGGCTTTTAAAATGTAATCTTAGCTGTTCTACTCACTCTCATAGTAAGAGGCGTGAGACTCAAAGATATTTAATCCCTCACTAAAGGTCACTCAGTGAATGCATAACAGCTCTTGTTCTTAAGCTTTTACAGAATTTTTGGTAATACATTACAGAGTTTCACCAGTCATTTTTAAAAGTAAGACACAGAGGTTGTTTTAATCTGTTTTATAATGTTATAGAAAAAAATACCAGATCCAGGCCAATGTATAAAAAAGATATAAATGCATAAAAATATATTCTGAGAGGCTGGGGTTGTGGCTCTGTGGTATACTGCTTACCTAGAACATGCAAGGAGCTGGGTTAAAACCTCAGCACTACATAAAAATAAATGAATGAATGAATAAATAAATAAATAAATAAATAAAGGCATTGTGTCCAACTCCAACAATCAATCAAATAAATAAATAAATAAAAATTTTTGAGTACATAGTTCTAAAGATTTAAGTACACTGTACCAGAATCTTCTCAGCTCCTGTGATAGCCACTTCATATGCATTACACAAGAGATAGCATTAGGGTGAGGGCTCATTTGAAAGGGAGAGAGAACATAATGAGACAGGAAGTCAGAGATTCAGAAACAAGACTTACTCTTTTTGTAACAACCTGCTTTAATAGGAATTATCTTGTGTCCTATGAAATTTACATTAACCCTTTTCAATGGCATCCCCCCAATGATCTAACCACAATCTACTAGATCTCACTTCTTCAACATTCTACTATTTTCCAACTCTCTCCCTTTGGAAACTAAGTTCCCAACACATGAGCATTTGGGGGACATACTCAAATCATAATGAAAGTATTATGAGAGAGACAATGGTAAAAATTAGACAGAATGTCATTTCTTAGTAGTCATAAAGATTTTAGATACTAAAATAAAAATGCTTTATAATATAGAAATTATTTTAGGTGGATATTTTATTTTAAAACAATAGGAAATTTAATTAAACTACTTTTTGAAGAATGAATGAATTTGAATGTGACAAAACTAATGGGCTATGTATACGAAAAGAAAGGAAAAGTCTGTGCAAAAACTCAACAGATGTTTAGTAAACCATGCCTAAGTATATAAAAAGAATGGTGGGATTTCTGAATATGGTATATCAAGCCAAAATTTTACTGGCTAAAATTTGGTGGCCCTCAAAACCAGAGAAAATATTCATATGAAACATGCAGTGGACATCAGTCTCAAGGTTTTTTTACTTCAAATATCTGCTTCCAAAGAGTACATGTTTCTTAGTAATTCTCGGGAGAATTATCTTTCAATTTCAATTTTTAGCTTTTTATACAATTACTGCACCATTTCTTGGCAAGAACAATATTTTCTTGAACATCTTCATATATTAATCTATACACTATCTCACATATGCTTGTTTCTAGGTTGTCATGGATCCCTCCTAGTGAATTCTGAGATGTGCAAAAGGTTTAAAAAACAGAAATTTGCTTATGAAAAATAAGCCATGTTGTAGGTGGGAAGTAAAAGGAGAAAAGATGCAAAAGTCCTCATCTAACCTTGTATATGCTGATATTACACAAGGTTATTCCAATGATGTCTGGTTTAGGGTAGAGAAGCAACTTTTCTTATACACTATGACATAAAGTTTATCAAGTATGGTTGTTACAGACTTTTGGGGAAAACTCAAATTTATCTTAGTAATTTCCACATTGAAAAACTACTAGTACTTAAAAAAAAAAACATTCATTGCAATAAATCTGACATAGTTCTTTAATATTGCAGAACAGAAAATTGGTGGCATTATTCACTGAATGCCAATATTTTCCAATAACACCTCAGACCACAATAAATGTACCTTATATAGTTTAACACCTATAGGAGTACTTAATAAAATAAGTCGATAATTAAAGAGTGAAATGAGACCCAGAAACAACTAAGTATAGTAAAAATTATTATTACCTTATTTTAAATACTAGTGTACCCTTTTGCTTTTTTCCCAAAAGTTAATTTTTAAACTTTTTGTATGATATTTCACTTTATTTATATAACATTGATAAATTGTACTGCTTTTTTCATATGCACTCTCTGATGCACCTCAAATATATTTGCATACCCCAAAACCTTAGCAGATTTCTATACACATTATTCACTAGAAAAACAGTTAATTAAGTGGATAATACAATACAATTTAAAGTTAGATGTTTGAGCTTGGGTCACAGTTCCCTGAGAGTTTTCATGCAGAATATGTAAGGTACTGCATTCAAATTCATCACAAAAAGCAGATGTTCAGATGAGGTGAAGTTACAAGTTGTTTTAATCAGTCTTTTTAACCACTGTGATTAAATATATTGACCATAGAAATAGTAGAGGAATAACAGTTACTTCTGAAATCTATATTGCCTTTTTCAATGTTTAGGAAGTAAAATAGGCTCAATATATATACTTCCCTTGAAACCAGTACCCATAGCTAGTGCTGTGATCCAAATGAATGTGCCTCCAGGAACCTGAACAGTGCCCAAACCCACTATCACAGCCACCAGGGAGTTTTCTATTATTTCAAGGGCAGAGATTCCATAGGCCTTGCTGAGCCCTCAGACCAACACTTAGCACTGAATTGGAACTCAACAGATACAATATTGAGTCAGAAATGTTTAAATAGGTAGAAATGTTGGTGGGTATTATCTCTTTGCAAGCCAGAAATAACTAACTGGGGTTAATCTGAGCAAGAGGTGATTAGACAGAGAGTGGGAAGCTCTGTTTTTGCCCAGGATTGGCAGCCCAGGCAGCCAGCAAGTCAGGAAGGGCACCTCACTCAGGAGCACTGCCATGGCCCATAGGGAAGAGGACAAGGATCTTTTGAATGAAGCTCAACGTAAGCTTTTTGTAGTGATTTGTCCCTCCATTAAAAAGGGAAAAATTAACTGGCCCAGTGTGGCTTTTGCCAGCATCAGAATGGACCATGTCTAGTGTGGAAGAGTATTTCTAACTTAGTTAAAGAAATAGAGTGCTATTAGGAAAGAGTAACTGTGCTGGGAACTTTAGGGAGAAACAAACAACCAAAAAATATATATATTTATTCCCAAGGGAAAGAAACATGGTCTGAGAGGACAGTGGTATCTACCTGCTGCAATTTAGCCACTCAGCATCCTGAAGAAACCAAGAAGTTTTCACCCATCTTTGCTCTTTTTTCAACATCAGTGAATAATTTGGTTAATGGGAACAAATTGCTGCATCTTCTTTTAAGTTAACTTGCCATCACCATCAATCTGTCATAGGTTGCTCTTCCTCATGTACTTGAGCACAGAGCTCCAAGATGCAGGTGGTTGCAACAGGAGCTGAGATGATGTCCCAACCACTAAAGGCCTCATAACCAAAATGGAATCCAGTTACCAAAAACTGTTGACATACACAGACATGCTACATGTGCAAAATGCAGAAAAGCTGAAAGGAAGTAGTGATGTGGATTGAGCATGCAAACTTACATCCACAAAGTGAGAAGGGACTCAGTTTAGATTTTTTCATCTCTGTGCCACCTTTGATTGAGGAGACAGACCAGCACACAGCAAGAGATGCCAGTCACTTCTAATATAGGGCTGCTCACACATCATGTGCACCCAGACACCTGATATAATCAACAACCAAAGCAGGAGGGCAATAAGTACATCTGTCAAGGGACACCGAGGCCCCCTCTGCCACCATTCCAGTCTTTCACACCATGAGTGCATTTATGGTGAGAGCCACAAGTTGTCTTTTGCCTTCTCAGTCATGGGGCTTGGTTGACAGATCAGTTTGACAAGGACACATTCAAATTGAAGTCATGAAATACTATTACTCTCAATTCTTACACTGGGGTATGACTCTTTCTTCCTGAAAATACTAAAGTCATTTTATTGTTCTTTCTACCAGATTTTGAATTCTAACCTAACAACTGGTCAAAATTATGAATAGGATGTGTATCATAAATTTATTAAATTCAAATTAAAGATGGGGTTTGTGTGTGGGTGTGTGCAGTTTGTTTGCTTTCTTAAGAAGCAAGCTATAGTAAAACTGACATTGGGGCTTAGGACACATCATGTTCTCGAAGACACACTAGAATAGTAAGTGCCCTGACCACACAAAAGCCTCCTCACAATAGAGAGTGTGGCAGGCTGGCCTCTGAGGGCAGCTCCTTGGTCCTTTAAGACATTTTGGGGAAGGAATTCTGGTCACCAAGCAAAACAGATGGGCAGAGCAAGAAGATGTGGTGGTGACCCAGGGAGGTGTTGTGGTTTCTGGGAGCCACCAGGAAGTACCAGTATGGGGTTGCTGGAGCATCAAAAAGTGTCTGAAAGGACTGGAATCCCAAGATGTACGATAATGCCTCAGCAGGGTCCTGATTCCTCTGGAAGCTTTAGAGAAGGGTCTGCCTCAGCTTCTCTCCTAGTGGCTCATAGTCCTTTGGCTGGGGCATTTGGGTCCAGAGACGACATGGTACCCTCCCTTTTTGCTTCTCTGAATCTGTGTTCAATTTTCTTTTTTGATGCAGTCCCCAAGTCATATTAGATTAGGGGCCCAGCCTGCTCCAGTATTATTTAATGTAAATCAGCTCTACCTGCAATGACTCTTATTTCCCATGCAGGTCGCAGTCTGAAGAACCATGGGTGGGAACTAAGGAGCAGGAGAGATCACCACCTAAGCCAGGCATTTCCTTAGCTGGGATATCAAATTCCCTTTTTTCCTTTGTTCAAAAATAGAAAATTAGAGAAACCCATCCCTGGGACTATAGTAAACTTTTTACTTTTTTTAACTCCCTCATGCATTAATCTCTTAATGAATACMTAATGCTTTCTTCCAGAGACTTGAATGAGCCAAAAATGATTATCTATTTCCACACAAGATAAAACTCATATTTTTAATAACTGGTGAAAACTGCCAAGGTAACAAGTTAGGAAGCCATAGTCACATAGCTAGCTGACAGTGATGTTAGTGTTGGAACCTGGATTTCCCAACCAGGACTTTGATGCAATATAGGAGTTAGTAGATTTAGAAAGGCCTGCAAAATTCCCTGGAGGGCCAAGCTCTTCCTCTCACTAGCAAAATATCTGACTTGAAGATGATGAAGGAGAGCCCCAGACCTGGAGAAAGGGCCCTGGAGAAGATCTCAAGGTCAAACAATGTCAGGGGCCATCAACCCCATCCCACAGCACCTCCCACATAGGCAGGGGCAGTATGGAACCCCACTTTCATTGGAGACAGTGAGAACCAGGGAACTGGTACTGCCTGTTAAAGGTCTAGGCGACCAGGGTTGCAGGGCCATGTGTGCTTATTCTTAGCTGAGTCTGCCTCAACATGCCATGGTAAGACAAGTTTATTGCCAGGTAAGTGTCATCCCAGGACCCTCACATATGTGCTTCTCATTTGGCTTAGGCACCTTCCATATTTTTATTTATTTATTTATTTATTTATTTATTTATTTATTTATTTATATGTGTTGAATACAAAACAGTGGGATGCATTACAATTTTTATTACACATATAGAGCTCAATTTTTTCATATCTCTGTATATAAAGTATGTTCACACCAATTCATGCCTTTGTACATGTACTTTTTTATTACAATTCTTATTACACATACATGCCACAATTTTTCATATCTCTGCTTGTATATAAAGTATGTTGACACCCAATTTGAATCTTCATACATGTACTTTGCATAATAATGTACATCATATTCCACCATTCTTGCTAATCTCCTGCCCTCTTTCCCTTCCACCCCTTTGCCTATCTAGAATTCATCTAATCCTTTGTTTTAATTAAAGAGAAAAATGCAAGCCCTCCTCTGGGAGGTGAAGGCCTCTGCAAATGCACACACTTCCTGCCAYTAAGATGGCACCATCTCTCCTCAGTGTCTTGAAGACAAGAGTTTTATGGTTGCTGGGAGTTGGGGAAAAAATTAGGCATGAGCAAGTAAAAGATTTCTGGACAACAGTGCACAGTTCCCAAGGTTCCAGGCCAAAGCATAGAACATAATGAGTAATGAAGCCAAGACTCATGTACATAGATCTCCATCCCTGCTCTGTTGGCTGTGGGTGGTGAAAATGTGGATGTTGGAGAAGAAAAGTACATAATAATAGCAATAACAATCTATCATGTATTTGTTAGGATGTTTTAAAAATTCAGATTAACAGATGTTTCAACTACAACTCCATATTTCAGGAGCTGGTTGGAGGTGAAGAAGGTCACAGCCCATGCCCCTGGGGCCTCTGAGGGATGTTAATAGATGTGCTCTTCAGCTCAGCCTCCACAAAATAAAATGTATAGTCCAATAATTAATTTCTAGTTACAGGGCAGAAAATGGCTTAAATACAGAATATCCAGGACACCACTAATTATTGGGAAGACTCTAACCCCATTATTTGGTTTGTCTTAGACCCTTGGCCTTCAAGAAAAGAAAGAATAATTTCTCAGCAAACTGTTTTCAGAAATTTCTAGAAACTATGTCAACTTGTACAGAGACAGATTCACATCTCATGTAGGTAAGAGTTCAGGCATTTCCCCCCTATTTTCATGTGTACATTTATTCTCAAATAAGTAAAGCACACAACTTTGTTAAGAAACAGACTTAAGGAACTAGAATTTTRTTTTATTGCATTTGCTCTTGAATAAAATATAGAATTGTAGATCTTAGGTGTATTTTCCACAATGTGAGCCAAATTTCATCTCAAGCACATAGCTCTGCTGGAAAAAATTAGCTTAAAACATTTATTCCAAAGTGAAAATTTTGTGACATCATGATTTGTTGTAGATTTCCCATGGAATTCATTTTTCTTACAACTTAACCTTCTCTCCACATCCTAATTCTGGGCTATAGGAAAAAGGTGGCTTTACTGTTACTGGTGAGTCCCACTGATTCTGCTGGTACCACAAAGTTCATATTCACCCAAGGAGAAACATCTGTGCTAACAGTGACACCAAAGACATGTTATGCTTAATACATGCTAGGAATTGTTCTAAACCTTCTGCAGATATAGCTCAGTAAATCCTCAAAGCAATCCTGTATGCCAGGTATTATTGTTATTATATTTCAGGGACCTACTGAAATTTGTAGAACTATTAAGAATCTGAGTAGGGATTTGAGCCCAGGGAGTCAAGCCCCAGATCTGTCCATAGCTACTTTTGTATGTCTACCATACAAGCTGTGACTCAGCCTGTCCATCTTGTTTCCTCCTGTCCCTGTCCACAACTGGAATGGGCAGGTAACTCAGCAGAACCAAGTAGATTTTGTTAATAAGATTGCCTGATTAAAGGTCCATAGAGCATTGCTCTTTCCTCTGAGAAAGCTCGTCATGAGCAAGATGTGAGCGTGGAATTTCCCAGGGCTGTGTTTTTCAACTCACAGAGAAATGCTGCCCTGATAGATGCCAGAACACACCAAGATAAGTTATGCAAAAGAGAGAAAAAAAAAGACCTGGTGGTCCAGGGACCTTGCTCAGTCTGAACTTTCCACCAGATGGCTAACAAACTCCTTTTGTGTGCATGAACTGTTTTGATATGGTAACGTGGTACTTGACACTTTAAGAGACTTGACAAAGAAAAATGCAGAGTAAATGAAGGTAAGAGAAAGAACAAATCCTCATATTTAAACATATGCAAAATGACATAGACAGATGCTCACATTATAGCTATATAGATGAGGCCCTAAAAGACCTGACATCTTTCCTAACAGTAACCTCAAAGCTTGTCCAGACAGAAATTTCCAAACTTCAACTATAAATCAGGGAAAGAATAGATGAGAAAACCTGTTGAGTAGAAACACTTACCATTCTGCTCCATGGACCACTGCCAAAAACCATTGTGTTAAATAAGGTGTGCTGCTACAATATCCAAAGTCAT